ATATTTCTAGAAAAAAAAAGTCACAAAGCTACTGAATCTATACTGATGAAACTTCAGCTTTCAAATGTAAGTAACAGACACAGAAATAAAGTAGGTGAATCTAAAACCAACGGAGATAACATACTTTGCCCTTGCTTCCTCCCATTTATGTTTTTTCTCATCAACAGTTTTCTTCATAACTTGGTACCACTTTCTGAAATTAAACCATGGCTTATCTGAAAGAAATAAAATCTAACATTATTAACCAAATAAATCACATTATAATAATATACATTATTCATTTGAGTCTTCATTCAATGACATAGATAAGCACTTAAATAGTAGCTCTTAGAAATTATAGATGGAGTCATTGTCTCCATACTCTAATATGACTCTCTTGAGCAATCTCTCACTCACCCCACTAAGTTCCTACCTATATCGTGGCTCCAACTAGATTATGCTGAAATCATCTTTTTACACATCTGTTTCTCCTAGACTTGACTATTACCTCCTTGAGAACAGAACATATATTTTGTTTGCCCTCTCCTCCCCGCAAACCCAACACCCAGCACAGCATGTGGCACATGGTGGTGCTCCAACATGGCAAACAGATGAATTATGGGGAAAATGATTGACAAATGTGTGAAATGGTATTACAGTAGCTGAATCTAGACTTCTGGTTTCATCAACTCCTTTTCTTGTTCTTCCTAATTATTCAAAGAATCTAGACGTAAGTAAGAAAGTAGATTGCACTGGATAGTTGGCGTGAGTGTGTGTTCAAGATGTAGAGGTCAGAGAGACAGCAGAATTGAATGCAGTCAAGTATAAAAATTCACTCCTCGTACTTTTATTCAATCCTTATGGGGATCATTCTCCATTATTCTCCAATGAAAATAATCTCTTTAATGTCTAATTAAAAATATTTTCAACTGGCCAATAAAATCATCATCTAATCCCGTATGACCCTGTAGACCATAAAGCCTTGAAAAAAGGGAACTACCAAAATTATAGAGAGGAAAACTATAACAATTAATAGGACTCAAGGTTCTTTGATCTTGAGTAAGTCACAACTTCTTTAAATCACAATCTCCTCATCAATAATGTGGGGAGGCAGGGGATGGTAGTTAGCACGGCAGCAGTGAGAATGAGGACAATAATCCTTGCCCTGATGACAGCATAGATTTGAGGTTTATAAGGGAGAGAGGTCCAAGTGCTCTGTTTACTTTATACATCTACACAGTCTACTATCACCTTTCAGTATCAGAAAGAAAATTAGAAGACAGCTAGTTCAACCTTTCACTCTATATAGAAGCCAACACAAGCAATATACAGAAAGAAGTATTTTATATACATTCTGGAAAGAACACACAAACTGATCACCACCATTAAACTCAAGCTCCCAAAACCAATGAACGTAAATCCTAGCGAGAATAGTAAGCAATTAGAATCGAATTTAAGAATTCACATATTCCACTACACTTCACTGAGTTGCTCTTACGCCAATCACTATGTTAAGCACTAAAGATACATTTTTTAAAATAAAGAAGATATAGTCCTCCTCTGGAAGCTCACAATCTACCTATTTGTCTATCACTTACAATGTACTTATTATATGCCAGATATTCTTCTAAGCACTTTACAAATATTGGCAATCTAATAGGGACAGACATACTTATTAGGCCATTAGTTATAATTCAATGTATTAAATATCTAGTATAAGTTTGGACAGGAGTAATTGGTTCTGATTTGGGAAGAGATGAAGTGGTGTGAAGTGGTGTGAAGAACAGGTAAAAGAATGGTATTTATGCTGCATCTTGAAGAATGAAGAGGGATTTGCTAGGGACTGAAGGGGAGCTACAGGGTAAGAAGGAAAGAGCATTCCAGATGGAGGGAA